CCTCCTCCTCCTCCTCCTCCTCCTCCTCCTCCGTAGCCATTTTGGCTCAAGAATGCTGCACCTGAGGGCTCCGCGCCCTCGTGCCGAACTGGAAGCTGCTAGTCCGCAGCAGTGCCAAGGCCTTGTGCCTGACAGCTTTTGCCAGTACTGCACGGGCTTCTGGCAGCCCATCTTTCGTGTGCTCCTGACGGAGCTAGTTGTTACGGCGCTGCGATGGCCCCCGCCCCGTGGCGTATCCCCGGTGATGCGGAGGAAACCTGGACGAGGCAGCCCTGGATCCGAGTTCCGCCTGGGGGCGCCAAGGCTGGGCAGAATCGTGGTGCTCGGCTGTACACTGTGTGCTCTTGTGGCCACTGGGCTTGGAATGACCTCCTGGCCAAGCGGCACAATCTCTGCGTCGGGTGCCAGTCCCAGTGCCACCCGCTCAGCTCCTCTGTCGGCGGCGGCGGCCAGATGCTTCTGTACACCAGTTCTGAGGAGTCTGGATGGGGTGAGGGAGGCAGCAAGTCCAAGGGTCGCTGGCGCAAGGGTACCCAGGCGCAGCAGGTGCAGCAGGGCCCCTCTGAAGCCATTCCTCCTCAAGCTCTCGCGGCTGTCAAGGAGGCTGCTTCGCACCTCGCCCCCGACCTGGCCCAGAAGTTGCTCGCTCAATTCGTGCCCAAGCCTCCGCCCCAGCCCCGGGCGACACCTGAGGCCGAGTGGCAACGTGCATCGCAGGCCAAGAATGCGTCCAAGGAGAAGCTCGACAAGGCCCTGGCGCGCCGCGCGGCGCTGGACAAGGAGGTCAGTGACCTGGACAAGCACCTTGACGAGCTCATGGCGAGGGATCTGGAGAACGCTGACATACTTGAGCAGGCCACTCGTAAGCTTGCCGTCGGAGTTCTCAAGCCTGCTGAGCCCATTTCCAGCAAGAGCGTCATTTCCCTCGACGCCCTTTTCAAGGACTCCGCTGATGAGATCAAGCTCGACTTTGGTGAAGAGCTGGACGTCTCGGAGCCAGCCTTCTCGGCCGAGGACCGCGAGGGATTTGAAAAGGTCAAGCTTGAGCAGTCCCAGCAGGTCAAGACCCTCTTGCACGGAGCGCTCGCGAGCATTAAATCCCAGTACAAGACGCACCAGGAGGAATACCAGAAGCGGATGGGTGAGCTGCGTAAGAAACGCAAGACTACTGATGGTGCAGTTGCAACAGGGGTCGCGGCTTCTCGAGGTGCGGGCAGCCAGAGCGCCGCTTCCTCTCAGGCGCCTGCGGCTGATGCGCCGAAGGCTGTGCCCTTGGCTGCTGAGGCCCCTGCCGAGCCGACCGACAAGGAGAAGAGGATCGAGAAGGCGCGCGCTGACACTCTCGCACGGGCTAAGGCTGCTGCTGCTCGGGCCAAGGTTGAGGCTCGTGAGTCGGGCTCCTAGCTCTGCTGGTGATGGTCAAGCGTGTGATAGCTGTTCTACCTGCAGTTCTCCTGGCGGTGTGCTCTCAAGATCGGCCTCCTCATGATCACTTTCTTCTGTGCCGTCCACTTCGGCGGCAGGCGGCTCCTCTTCTTTCCTGCTTGTGACGACCTCTCCTGGTGCTACTGCGTCCTCGTCGGTTTCATACGATGGGCGCTCACTCACCGCGCCTGCGAAGGCAATGGCCCCGCGGACGGCACCTGCTGCAGGTTGGCTCTGCCAAGACCTCAGCACGGATTCCCGCGGCGCGAGTCTTGCTGGAGGCTCGGCAGACGACGCCACATGTGCTTGCGGTACGGCCACTACTTCGTCGGTTGCGGCATCTACTGCTTCGGGCTTGGCGGCGGCCTCGGCCCCGTGCTCGACTTCAAGGGCAGGCAGGCGGTCGCGCTGGCTCCAGAAGGCGTGTGATGTGGGAGGCGCCGCTGGAGAGGGGACGGCCCCTCACTCCCAAGGGTGCGCGGTCCTGCGGGGGCCCGCTGCAGGGCACACCGCGAACTCTGTCCTCACCTGTAAGGACCAGGATCCTGAACGGTGTGAGGCCATTCGTCAGCGACTTATTATCGAGCGTCGTCTTCGGTTATACGCAAACTTCTGGCTCCAGGGCCCGAGTCTGTTGGATGAGCCTACCAACCAAGCTCGCTGGATGCGTTTGTGTGTCACTTACGTTTCTGACTTGCTTACCCAGGGTGTTTACGATCCTCTCGTCTTGGGGCAGTCGGCTCGGACTGGCATTGAGAACTTGGCTATCGTGAGGCGTGACATGGCTCATGACATCTGTCAATCGGCCTGGAGGTCCAGGAGGAGTGTGAGGGCTCGCTACCATGCCAACATGCGTTTGCTTTCGCAGTCAGACCCTGATGCATGGGAAGAGGAACTTCGTCGTCACGCCCGCTCCATGGTCCTTGCTGAACTTGAGTTTGACACTTCCAACCGTGCCTCAGGCCCTGGGATTGTTGTCGCTACTGGTGGATCGCCTGTCTGTGCTGCTGGAAATCCTGGTTCGCCAGGTTCTTTCGTCGCAGGGCCGTCGAACCCTTCCCTGCGGCCCACGGGGTTGGAGCAATCGCCCAGCGGTGCCCCTCGTGGATCAGGCGGCGGGCCCGTTTTTTGCTGGATCCGCATGACGATGAGAGTCAGGGGCCTGGGTCTGACCCTGACAGCGACTCCGCCCCTCAGCGTTCCTTGTCCATTGTCTACTCCAACATTAGTGTGAGGGGCCCAACCGCTTGCAGGTGGGTTGCAGCATGCTCGGCAGACATCATCATTTTTGTCGAGCACAGGATGCGCGGTTCCAAGTACCAGGCGATGGCCAAGAAGCTACACAAGCTGGGCTGGGAGGTGGTGGCGCAGGCCGCTGAGCCCACGCTCGCTGATGATGCATCGTCAGGTGTTCTTGTTGCCGCGCGTTCTCATCTTGGGCTTTCACAATTGACATGCGAGGCGGGTGAGTGGACTACGGCTGGTACGGCTCGGTGGTTGTTGTGTACTCTGAGGCTTCGGAAGGTTTCCCTGACCATCGTCCCTGTCTACCTGGTCACGGGGGGTGAGCTCAGCGGTCAGAACCCCGAGCTGCTGGCGGACCTCGGCGCCCATCTGAGCGCGGCAGGTGTTCCCGCCTTTGTGGTGGGCGACTGGCAGGTGGACCAGAGTGTTCTTGAGGAGTCAGGTTGGCTGGAGCCTCTCGGCCTCGTCCCTGTTCCTATGCCTGGTGTTTCGGTTGCGTGCTCTGGGGTCTCCACCAGTCGGATCGATTACGATTCGGTCTCTGCTAGCTTCTCTAGTGCCGTCCAGTTTAGGTCGCTTGTTCCAGTGCCTTGGGGCACTCACGCTGCTTTGGAATTTCATGTCTTGGCTTCCTCCAGGGCCATCATGGTTTGGAAGGCCATGCGACCTAAGCCCATTCCTGTCAAAAGCGTTGCTGCCCCTTTTGAAGCCTGGCCGCGCCTCCTGGTGCAGGCGCAGCTGCTGCGACGTAAGCGGCCAGGCTTCTTCAAGGCCAACTATGCCGCTGCCAGTCTCCTCAAGCTCGAGCATGACAACATCCAGGTCTCTCTCGATTTAGGTGCCCAGTTGTCTACCTGGATTGTTGCTCTGGAGCTTGAGGCCTTCTCGAAGCTTGGTTTGGCCCAGGATCAGGTGTTCCAGTTTATAGGGCGTTGCCAGGAGCCCAGGCTGCGTTTGGTGCCCCTCACGGCCGCCCAGGTTGAGGGGCCATGCCGGGCAGACCGTGGCGCCCGTTTCTGGCAAGCTGCCTTTGTCAAGCTCAGGCCGTTGCTTAAGCTTGCCCCGCAGGATTCCATAGAGGATATCCCGCCGCAGCCCGACCGTAAGCATGCAGCTCAATTTCGTGCCACTATGGATTGGCTTTCTCGGCAGGTGCCCCCATCCCCCGTCTGACCCTTCCGATGCGGGTCAGTGTGGAACCTTTAACTTGTGGAAGATTCGTTTTCAGCGTATTTCTGAGCTGCCGTTCGACGGGCTGCAAGACTTGCTAGCTGAGCTCCAGCAGGTGTCTGAAAAATCCCACCGTGACGCTCTTCAGGCTCAGAAGGCTTCGTGGAAGGCCTGGCTCCAGGGGGCGCTTTGCAGGTCTGCGGGGCCGGCCCATCGGCTGTTGAAGCCACCCCTGGACCCTCTGGAGGCCGAAAAGATCGGTGAGGAAGGACTCTGCTCAGCCTTAGATCAGCTCCTAGAATTTGAAGCGGCCGCTTGGACGGCCATCTGGCAACAGCACGACAAGGGCGAGGCGCGGGCTGCGTTAGCTGCCCTGCGTAAGTGTGCTCGGTCGTCCCCGCGCTTGCCACCCATCGACCTGGACACCCTTAATCGCGCGCTCAAGTCGTTGCCTGACTCCAGGGGTCAGGGCTTGGATCAAGGAGGCTAGTGTTGAGGCCAAGCTCCACCTCATTCAGCCTCTAGAGTCCATTGAGGAGCAGTGCGCTTTGCCTTTCCAGCAGCTTTTTGCCTTGATTGCCCTCATTCCGAAGCCGGGCGGGGAAAAAAAAGCCCATTGCGCTGCTCGGTTTTATTTATACGCTTCTTTTGCGCATCAGGAAGCCTGTCATCGCGGCTTGGGACCGTGGGGCGCATGGGCCCTGGGACCAGACCGTTGGGGGCTCGGCCGACGTAGCTGGTTGGCTTGACGAGCTTGAAACGGAACTTGCCCCCCGCAGCGGTTTCCAGGTCGGGGGCCTTTTGCTAGATATGAAGAAGTACGATGACCAAGTCTGTCTTAAGGACTTGGTGGAAGCGGCTCGAGAATTAGATTACCCACTCCGTCTGTTGGCCCTGGCCATCGATATCTACTTGGGAGTTCGGCATTTGTCGTTGGAGGGGGCTGCCCATCCTGGGGTCCTGGCTCACGGGGGCATGTTGGCTGGATGTGGCCAGGCCACCTCCCTAGCGCGAGCACATTTGCACCGACCCCTCGCAGGAGCCAATGGATCGGTCGGTGGCCTTCGGCCGCGGGAGTGGGTCGATGATATATCAGCTCGTCTTTTTGGCGCGCATTCGTCCATCGTCGCTACGTTTCCCATCCTGCTACGAGCCCTCCTCACTGGCCTCAGGAGGCGTCGCTGTGAGTTGCCCCGGGGAAAGTCCAATTTGCTCGCGTCCTCGCCAGGCCTTCGGGCTGAGCTTTCCAGGATTGCTGTCAGTGAAGGCTGCGAGTTCTCGGTGGCTCTGGCCGCCAGGGATTTGGGGCGCGACGCCGCTCTGGGCGCCGGGGGGACTGTGGCCGTCAGGAAGACCCGTTTTACCAAGGGGCGGGATGCCACTCGTATGATTTTCATGTTTGGGCGCACGTGCAGGCAAGCCAGTAAATTGTTCTTTCCTAGTGCTTATGCGAAGGCCATGTGGGCGCCCGAGATTCACGGTGTCTCTCCCTCCACGCTCAAAAGGCCTCCGCAGCATGGCTCGTGCTGCCAGCGAGACCCCTCAGAGAGGTGTGTGTGCCACAACCGCTATCCGTCTCACTTTCGGCTATGGTCAGGACCCCCTCCAGGTGTGCGTTCGGCGTGTCGTCAAGTCGTGGTTTGCTCGCCTTGCGGGCCGCCCTGGGCTCCTCCGTCGCCTGGCCTGTCTCTGGGCGGCCTCTCTGGCCAAGGTCCGAAAAGGGTGGTCCTGGGTCCGTGGCCCGATGGCGGCTTTTCAAGCCACGATGTTGGCAGTAGGATGGCAGTGCCCCTCACCTTTCACTCTCATCGCGCCTTGTGGTGACGAGTGGCAGATGATGGAGGACGGGCACGGCCCGCTAGGCCCTCTTCTTGAGGCTTTTGACGATTCCATCGGCACCCTTCAGTGGCGCCAGGCTTCTGAGCACCTGGATGGCGCTGGAATCCAGGGGCCTGTCTCTCTTCGCCATGTCTGGGACCTTGTTGCCTCCCTCGAGAAGGATGGGCGTCGGGACCTCGCGGCTATGATTCGGCTCTTGGTCTCTGGAGGCTATTGGGCTGAGGAGAGAAGGCACAAGGCCCAGATGGCTCCCGATCCTATTCGTAGGCGTTGCCAGCGTGACCCCGAGACCTCCTGCCGCAGGTTTTGGGAGTGCATGTGTAATGCTTCGTCGCAGGTCCAAGAGATTGTTGGCTCTCAGCACCTTAGGCACGGTGCCCAGCAGGAGGCTCTCCAGTACCAGTGCTTCTGGATGCGAGGACTTATTCCCCTTTCCTGGTTCAACCTCCCTCCTGTGCCTGATTCCAGGGACCTCCAGGGGCGGCGTTGTCCTGGGGCCTTGTTTCCAGGCTGTCTGCCAGGAGGCCTCTATGCCACTGATGGCACGGGAGGGCAGTTTGCCAAGGTTCCTGTTCTCCGACGAGTTGTCTTTGCCTTTGTGCGGCTCCGTCCTCGATGATTGTGATTGGGATTGTGGAGTCACAGGTGTACTCGACTCGGTTCGACAGACGGTGCCCCGCGCAGAGCTTGCGGCCATTGTTGAGTGCCTTCGTTGCGTTGACCCT